GCTAAGCTGCTTATGATTGTTAATGACTTTGTTCTTTGCTTCGTGTGTTGTTTCCTGAAATACATATATTAACTTTTTTTAAAAAATTATTTTTAAAACTAAAACAAAAAAAAAACAAACACTGTTAAAGGATCAATCTCTCAAAAGCTTTAAGAATGTTAAATATATATATAAGGAGTGTCACAGCTGTTATCTATATACCCCCCACCCCTTGCCAAGGCCTCATGAGCTCACAGCAGGGCTTTTGGGAGGTGGTGGAGCCATGGGTGTAGATACTGGATTAGTTCATTGATTGGCCTAGCATAGTGCTTGGTGTGGATGCTGGGCTTACTGAAGAGGGAAGATCCAACCTGGTTGTGGGTGGCACCAACCGAGAGGCTTACAGCCTGCCTGGAATATAAAGGGACAGAAAGTAGGCAAGCTCGCTGCTTCTTGCCTCCTGCTGGCCCTGCCATGGACTATTTCTCCTGTGCCATACCTCCCTGCCTTGGAGCCAGCCAACTATGGACTGAAACCTCTACAACTATGGACTGAAGCCTCTACAATGGGCTAAAATAAAACTCTCATCCTTTAAATTGTGGGTGTTGGTTATTTTGTCCAGCAACAACAAAGTAAGACAGAGAACACCAAAATATATGAAGCAAAAATAAAAACAAGAAAAGAAACTGAGAGTTCGATAATAGTAGATGGAGAACTCAATACTCCATGATCATTAATTGATACAGCAACTAGACGGAGCACCAAGAAAACAGATCTAACACTTCACCTGTCATGTCCCGACACACAAGGAACATTCTCTAGAATAGATTTTATGTAAGGACATAAATGTAAAAAGATCCAAGTATGTTCTACAAGTGTAATGCAATGAAAGCAAGAATAAAAGAAACTTCAGATAATTCACAAATATGTGGAAACTAACAGCATACTTTTAAAACAACCAGTAGATAAAAGAAGAAGTCATAAGGGAAGAAAATACTTTGAGAGAAATAAAACAAGACACAACAGGGTCTGTAGATGCAGTTAGTGTTACAGCACTTGCCAGAGCCAAGACCTTGGGTCTGGTCATTCATGCTACAAAACAAAAACAAAAAACAAAAACATAATGTCCCAAAAGGTAGGATGCAATGAAAGCAGAGCTGAACAGGGAATTTAGAGGTATATATGCCTACACTAAAAAAGATCTAGGTCCGGAATGTAACTCAGCCATAGCATGTGCAAGGCTCTAGGTTCAACCCTCAGGTTCCAAACTACACTGAACTAAAATAAGACCCCAAATAATTACCTTACCTTTCACCACGAGGAACTAGAAAAAAAGAGCAAACTAAACCCACAGAAAGCAGAAGGAAAGTCGAAGAGTAGTTATAAACAAAATAGAGAATTTGCAAACCAGAAGTTGGTTCTTTGAAAAAAATGAACAAAATTGATAAACCTTTAGTGGGATCTCATGTTCTCTTCAGCGTGAACTTTTCCCCCCACTCCAGGGATCACCCTTGTCCAACCGGAGAGCCAGGATACCTACCAGTTCCTCAGATTTTGGGCAGTGCCGGTGTGAGTGCACCCCACCTTCTTCACTGCCTCCCCTACCAGTCTCCTGCTTTCCGCTGCTCATTTTCCAGCCATTTCCCATCTTCTTCCCTGGCTCCTTCCTTGGCTTGATCTCTACTGTGGGAACCTAAAGGCTCTGCCTAGGGCAGTGACAGGAGCTTCCTAGAAGATACAAACAGCCTGTTGTGAAAATACGCCACAGGTTCACCACCACTGGTCCAGGCTCTCTTCTCTCAATAGACTCTGCCATGTCTCATCTCACAGCTTTTAGTAACCTCTATACCAATCTCTCAAATGTGGTCTTCAGCCAGGCCAGGGTCCTGAATTGTAGACATATGCAATAGCTCTTTGGTCACTTACATCAGTATATACACTGGCTTCTCACAGATTCATATTATGTCAGTGGGACGGCTGTTTCTGCCTGTAGTGCCATCCATCTAGTTGTTCAAGCTAAGTTTACCATTTCAAATCCAATCCATCCACTAGGGCAGTCACTGACATCTCTGAACTATATTCCAAATGTGTCCATCTCTAGTTGCACTATTATACCCTAAAGCAAGCTACTACCATTCCTAACCTTGATTACCGCAAAAGCCTTTTAGAACCAGCAAGCTTACTCTCAAAGTGCTATTTTACTTGCTAATTGGCATTGGAGGATCTTGCATGTAGAGTTCTAGGCTGTAGTTGGACACCGTCAATGGCATACAGTCGCAGTTGTAGAGAAGCATGGCAGAGGCAATCTTCCCAAGGCCACTGCTGTTGCTAAGCAACATAACAGGTCCTGTGAGGAGATGCTGCAGTGGATCAGCATCTAGCCAGCTTCTGGAGTAAGCAGCAATGGCAATGGAGACAGGCTCCCTGAACTCCCCACCGTGGGGTGTCTTTTGAGAGTCCTAGGGTAGTTCCCCTAACTATTCTAGTCCTTCCACTGATTTTGCAAATCATCCTATTCCTTCTTTTAAATTCCTGATTAAAATACCCCTAAAGAGGTTTCTGACTCTAGCATTCAATGCTGATATCCCACCTGGTCTTCTTCCATCCACTTTTTTTTTTTATAGGTGTGGGGGAGAAGAGGACGAGACACAACACATCCCTGGGTATTGAACCCAGGACTTTCTCACTGAACTGCATCTCCAGCCCTTTTTTATTGAGATAAAGTCTTACTACATCATTAAGTTGCCTAGGCTGGGTTTGATCCTGTGCTTCTCCTGCTTCAGCCTCCTGGAGTGCTAGGATTACAGGGGTGGGCCACCATGCCAAGCATTCCTGCATTTACTCTTGTTCATATATAACCCATTCTTTACCCAAGAGCTCCTGAAAACTGTAAATCACTCATAGCATCCTCTGCTCAAGTCCTCTAGTGGCTTCCCAGCACACTTAAGAGCACAATACCAACCCTTTCCCGGGGCAGCAGGCTGAAGGATCCACTTCTGTACGCCTCTCTGATACACCCAGCAGCCAACTTCTCAGTTCCCCATGGGCCACGCTCTGCCCCAGATCTCTGCTCCACACGATTCTGCACATGGGCTGCTGTTCCCTGGTTTCTTAGGCACCTCGTCTGCAATGGTTACAATTCCTCCTCTTCCGGGTAAAAAGCCACTGTATCTATGTTCTCTGCAAAACATGTGCTATGACTGAACCTAGTTTCTTGTAGCCTCTGAATAGATGTAACGTGGGAAAAAATGTACACATCTGGACACTGTAGATGCTTAATATTTAACAATGACTGTGGGTTCAATTTGCAAAGATGAATTTTACTTCTGTTAGGGTCACTCTGAGTATATTAGCAAAAACTTTGTTCTTAAATATTAGCTGAAGGATAACACCATTTTGCATTCAAGGAGTGGATGGCAAGATAGCAAACTGCTTAGGCACTTACTGTTTTAACTTTTATAATGACAAGAATGGAAATAAACCCTCTTCACACTGGTGCTGGAAAATTATCCCAAATCACTCATTTTTAAAAATGTGTCTCAGGAATAAAGTTGAGAAGAGAGATAGAAATGGGTGGATTTCATTTGAGATTACTGTCACTTTTCTCAAACATCTCTGACTCTTACAATATCCTGCTATTTACGTTCAGGGCTAAATGAACTATGCTCATTTTTCCCTCTTGAGGCTTCTTCCTCTTAGCCTCACATGGTGTAACTGGTGGCCTCACACTTTATGCTGTCTCCACAGAAACAGAGCCATCTGCTGGGCAAAGTCTGCAGTGCATCGGCTTTGGCAATAGGCCTGTGGTAGTGAACACCTCCAAGCAACAGGACTTGACGTGGGTGGGGCTTAGTGGCTAAGACCCGCCTTCCAGAAAGGCGATAGGGTGCCCTTCTATTTCTGAAGGCCCAGGAGATTAGTTCCCACAGACCTGAGAAATCAGGTCCATCTTAAGGGGAATAACTGAAATTTACCTTGATTAACAGGAAGAAATAAAGAGCCACACATTCAGAGTCCCTTGTACCCTGTATTCTCTGCAAACAAGATACCAAGGAAATTTATTATCTTTGTTTTCATTTATGGGAATTTCAAAAGTTGTTTTTTTCCTTCTCTTCCTAAAGACCGTGATTTGATTTGATTTACCTAATTCATTACTCTGTGTGTTTAGGGCTGGAGGGTAGCACTGAGCTGCATCCACCACACTTTTTAAATTTTTGAGACCGTCAGTAAGTTTCTACAGCTGAGCTCTGATTCATGATCGTTCTGTCCTGCTCCTCCCAGAACGTAGTCATTACAGGCTTGAGCCACCACACTCGGCTTCGTTACTCACTTTCTTAGGTTATGAAGCAGAAGAAACCATCCTATTTCTACTTTATTTCTCAGGTTCTTCCAAAGATCCTCTCTATCACACAACTGTGAACGGGTTCTTTGAATCTAAACTTTTTTCACTCACTTTGTTTTCCCTTCCTTACACACCCCACTTTGACACAATGAATCTAATATCGCACCTTTCTAATTCCTCAATCTGCTTTCCCGTCCTCATTTCTCAGTGTACTACAGCTTTTCTAGAACTCTCTCCACAGTGGACAGTTGATGCTGCCCCACTCCCATCTCGGCTCACTAGAACTGAGTGCCCCCACTTCCTTCTACCTTCAGATCTGATGCAAAATCCTCTTCCAATGTCCTGTACTATTACTGAGGGACCCTGTCATCCCATTTGCCCAGAAAAGTCAACATCATCCTCTTATTGTCATTCGTGGTTTTATCATTTACAAATTACTCCCATTGTTTCTATTTTTCTACTCTTGTATATTTTTATAGCCTTTAGATTTCTTAGCTACTAGAAGATCAAAATTAACAATGTAAAATATTTAATGTCTATACCCTGTCCTCTCATATTTGCAAGACCATTTCCTTTTCCTTATTCAAAGGACTCCTAAAATTATTCCTCCAGGACCCCTGAGAGTTTTTCTAGTTTAATTAGGAAAATAAGTGCTTCCTTCAAGCATCATCTTATATACTCATAAAATTTCCCAAAATCTAAGAAACCCCACTCATATACTAAATGTTTACTATCCAAATGAAATCTTAACCATCTATGTATACATGATTCAAATGTTAGTTGGGGGCTTCCTCTGCCCTTCCCATGAAGTACACATACATCACACGCAATAAAGACAAATACCAAAATAAAACTGGTTTTTTTTTCAATCTCTCTTCAGTCTGATTCTCTTTTGTTTTTGGCAGTAAGTGATAACAGTTCAGCAACATGTATAAAACTTGAGAAGGAAATGCTTTTATTAGTCACAGCATGAAACTGACATGAAATAGTATTAGAGATGAACCAAGGTAACTAATGCTACCATAAAATTTACATTTCTCACATCCATTTCAGAGGAAAATATTATGTACTAGAACTCTTTTTGGTGTTATGGGCTGATTTCAGTAAATTTAAAAAAAAACAGTAAATAGCAATTAACATATATTCTCAAACTGTGCTAAGACAATAGTTAAAAAGGCAACTTTAAAATCTATGATGATAACAACTGAGGCAGGATTAGAACTATTCTGTTGAACATTAAGTACCACACTTGGCTTTTTTGTTGAACCAGTGTACTTTTTCAGTGAGAGGCCAAGTGCTTGCTGTGGAAGCCATATGATTAGCAAATCTCTTCTTATGTAACAAATATTTGATTGATCAATGCTCTAGTTGATTTTTCTTTCCAAATTTTGCTCTTTTGGAACAGAAACAGGTAACTTTTTCATTAATATACAAAGAAGAAAATATGAAATGCAGCTGTTATAATCCTGTAACTCTCAATTACACAGGAACAATGAATTATTATTGGGAATCTCTCTGACATTATTTGTTGTTAAAAAAAAAGACTTCTGGAAAAAAAAAAGACTTCTACATAATAACTGGCTTTTCATTTTGATAATGACCCAATAAACCTAACATATCTGATCTGTATTTTAGTAATTTCTATCAATTAAACTTTGCTTTCAGCAAGGGATAGTTTGGTCTCAAACACTGTCTCCATACAAAGCATCTTTAAATAAGTTTCACTGTCAATGTGCTGAAGACTTGTTCACAGTGCGCCCATGGGACTGAATCTGAGCGCACACATACCATCCGAGAAAGGCCGGACACTGAGTGTCTACGTGGATGAAGGCAGGCGGAGCTCACTGAAGGAGGTGATGAGCCGGTAGTAAGTCTTCTCGTCGTCTGTCAGCCCCGCATTGCCAGGCCTCACCACCACGGCTACATGCACGTCCGCTTCTTCGGCAGCACTGGCCTCTGTGGAAAGTAAAGAATGGGCCAGAAACCACACTGGCTGAGATTCGCACAAACATTATCGGGGAATGTGGCAACAGGAGCAGAGAATTTGGGCCTGATTTTTTTGTTGACACTAGAAGATAAGAACATTTTCCTCTCCTTGTATGTTTCAGCTCCATGTTAAAAAACATGGCCTGTTTCCAGCAGAATGGCAATACACCCTATACTTCCAAGCTTCACTAAGTACACTACCTATCAGTGCAGGAAGATAGAGCTGCATTCCATCTATCTTCCTCCACTCTCTCCCATGGGTCCTACTAAGACTTGAGCTCTCTCCGGAAGGGCAGGTGCAGGTAACCACCCCAATGAAGCAGACGCAGGATGGAAGGAATCCTATGATCCAGACAGGCCAAAGTACCTATTCTTGCGCCAGCCCCAACATGTCACACACCCTCCCTACACTACCCGTACCCTCTTCAAGATTCAGTTCAACAGTTTTAAAGAGTCACTATCATCTGTAGTAGCACATCTTAAGTGCCCCTCTAACCCATGTGTTTACATCACAACAACATAAATGAACAATTGTTGTCTCTCCCCTCATTAGGCTATGAGTGCCTTAAGATCGGTGACTATATGTGTGTGAGAGGGTGGAGTAAAAACAGGAGTAGTCAAAGTAAGCCAGGTAAACAAGATATTGCAAGAGATAGCTCTATATACCTTAGGCTGCACTATTCTCTCCACTTTATTTCTATATGAAAAATAACAGCTAATACCTTCCACTAATTTAGCACCTCCTAGGTGCTAGGTACTATTCCAGGACCAAAGCTATGTGAACCAAACAAAGCTCCTGCCTAATGGAGTGCGCACTCTCATCAAAATCTGCACAGAGGGGCTGGGTCAGTGGTTCTGCTGTCTGCCTTGCAAGCGCAAGGTCCAGAGTTCAATCCTTGGTACAAAAAAAAAAAAAAAAAATCTGCACAGAAATCTGAGGGAGCCGGTATCATGATCCACACCCTACACATACAGAAACTGAGAGCCAGCAAGTGGCCGGGTTAAACTCTGACCTCAGCCTGACTTCCTGGTCTGTGCTCTGGAACAGCGGTTGGCAAACGACAGGCTGCCACCTGCTGTGGTAAAGAGCCACACCCATTCATGTGTTCATGACCGCCTGGCCCTACAAGGACAGTCAAACAGCTGGGACACAGAAGCTACAACCTCAAAAGCTGCAGTTATCTACCTGTGGTCTTTACAGGAAAAGCCTGCCAGTTCCTTCTCTTGGACACTGACACCCCACCATGGAACAACTGAATCAAGATCCACACGATTCCTCCACACAGGAAGGGTGGGATCAAAAGCTTCAGGAAAAGAAAACTCAGAGAGAGGAGTAATTCTAGGTGGGAACAAAAGCATACGAGTAAACACTAAGCATATAGAGCAGCTGGAGTGGGAGCAGGACACAGGTGCAGGGTGAGGAGAACTGACTTCCTGGGACAGGCAGGTACCAGGTGAAAACCTGGTGCGTGTTCTAGAAAATGAGGCTTGGACTATGGGGAGGTACTTTCTCAGCTTCTGGGACTAACTGCAAGGGCAGTGCAGAGCCAGAGCTGCTGCTGGAGAGACCCCACAGGGCAGAGCCGTTTCCCCACCTGCCATCTCTGGCTCTTCTTTGGAAGCCTGTCCCTCTCCTGAGTCCCAGAGGGAGTCCAGGAGACAGGCAGCTCCTTTGTGCCCCACCTCCCAGCCTGACCAGCAGAGATTTATCCCAGCTGGGCATCAGGACCACAGGGGAGCCAGCCAGTGGCTGCTCCCAGTAAAGCACTTCTGAGGATACAAGTTTTTTTCTAGCAAGTTTGTTCTTTTGGTAAATATTGAGATGCTTAAGTATTCATTGACTTCACACTCTGCGTTTTTTTCCTCTTCTCCAAGGAGAATGTCTTACGCTTTCTCTTTCACATTTGGGTATCAACTTAGCCTTCTGGGTGCTTTGGTAGTGGGAGTCTGGGTGTGTGGCACCAAGACACAGGCCCACAGGTGACGAGAAGACCAAGACAGCTACCGGGCTCATCCCTGCCACATGTGACCCAGTTCTGTCTCTTCTGCCTAATGGGGCATGGGACTGGTAAAGATGAGTGGCAGGAATAAATCCTTCATATGGAGTACTCAAGAAGAAGCCAATTTCATTTTGAGACTAATGTTGGGATTATCCCTATTCTTTGGAGTTAGAAATATTTTCTGGGGCTGAGGATTTAACTCAGTGGTGCTGCCATCTGCCTCACAAGCACAAGGTCCTGAGTTTGATCCCCAGTACCAAAAAAAAAAGGAAAAAGGAGAAGGGAGAAGGGAGAAGGGAGAAGGGAGAAAGGAGAAAGGAGAGGAGAGGAGAGGAAAAGGGGAAGGGGAAGTGGAAGGAGAAGGGGAAGCAGGAAGGGGAAGGGGAAGGAAAAAAAAAAGAAAAAGAAATATTTTCTGGAACTACAACCTAAGGAAATGGCTTAGGTAAAAACAGAAAGACCTAAAATTACAGATATAATTATTGATGTATCACTAGAAAAAGGCTAAAGGCAAGAATATGAAGAAACTACAAGTAGTCTTAGGGAAAGACATTATAATCAATAACCAAAAAGAATCATATTTAATCAGAGAAGTGGCTGACTGGGGAATTCTAACCCAAAGCAGGTCCTTAATTCTAAGAAGGAAGAAATCTACCAACTATGGTGCTAAGGCAGCCCGGCACAGGCGCACACAACTATAAATACCTAAATCCCAGCACTTAGGAGGCCTGCAAAGTTTGAGGCCAGCCTGGACTAAATAGTGAGCTCAGGGCCAGCATGAACTACACAGCAAGACCATGGCTCAAAAAAAATCAAACAACAGACAATAACAATGTGCTAAAGCAAAGTATAAACTGTAGAGTTTCATCTCCGACAGTTTCCTTAATGGAAATAAAGAAAAGCAGATTAAATGAGCTAAACTCACCAAGAACAAGACCTTTTTCCTTTCCGTGAGGAACAAAATGTAGCAATAGGTCTCAAACTGTCCTTCAAAGAAACTACTGGCACACCCCTACCTTACCCTCTAGTAAGGCAACTTCAACAGTACCACTCCAAAGCCCCCAAAAGCCACGCAGGGATACACTGCAGCTGAAAACTGCAGAAGGATCCATACAGAAATAGGATTGGCAAACATTTATGATCCATTCACAGCTCAGGGGAGAGGAGGCCGGGGAAAATGGCAATGGCTAAGGCTAATGTTCACTGACACTTTCCCATCACCTGGCAACTTAGTTAACAATAAACCTTGCAGCAGCTCATCTGTCTCCTCCAGTGCACTCAGATGTGTGAGAGCAAGCTTTCCAGGAAGTAGAAAAAATGAGCAATTTATAGAAATCTTTGAACTCTGAAGCTGACCCAAGCCAGGACCCATAGGAAAGAGGTTGATCTCATTAATCCCACTAAATCTGCTGAGTTTCCAAATCTCAAGGTAAGAAATCACTGTAAATTGCTATTGTTTACCTAGATTAAAAATTTCAGTCCACTTACCAAGGACTGAAATTTAACAAAGATATTAATTACTGAAGCTAGGCACATTAGTATATGCCAATAATCCCAGATACTCAGGAGGCTGAGGCAAGAAGGTCACAAGTTCAAGGCCAACCTGGGCAACTTAATGACACCTGTCTTAAAAGAAGGTAGGACACAATTCAGAACTCCCTGGCTTCAATCCCAACTATGGATTGAATGTCTACTTACACATCAGTGACCTGTAGATGTTAGCCCTGCTCTATTAGTATTGCTTTTAAAAAGTTATTACTTCTGAAGGCACTAGGTAATCTGTGCTGGTTAACAGCTTTTTAAAAAACTATTTTAGTAAATTTGAACCTGAAACTTTTGCCTATCACACTAAACCAAAAGTTCAAGGGCCAGAAGAAGAAAAAAAAAGTATAGCTCAGACTCACTACTTCAGGTAAGAACCTTCACTAGCAGCTGGATTTCCCCTTGGAACCCATCTCAAAAAATCCTGGCCAGTGAAAGTGACTTAGTTGTATGCTAACACACAGGAAGAGCTGCAGAGAGTCACCTTGCCACAGACCACAAACACCTCCTCCAAGAGGCCCAGGTATCATGTGGAGCAAAGCAGCAGCAGCACTGCACCCCCTATGCCTTTCCCCAGCCACGAGGGTTAAAGCTGACTGTCAACCTGATTGGCTTGGGAGCCACCTAGGGGATTAGTAACTTGCTTCCTGTGTGTCAGGGTGGGTACATACTCTCCCTTACTCTCTGGCCCTGGCTCCTGCTGTTTCCTGGCAGCCATGACCTAAGTAGCTTTGCTCTGCCAGGCTCTTCCACCACAATGTTCTTGCCCTGGAGCCAGCCAGTCATGGGCTGAAACTGTGAGCTAAATAAACCTCTCCTTTAGGTTGGAGGTGTGGCATATATGATCCAGCAATAAGAAAGCTGACTAATACACCAGTCTTTGTCCCTGTTACAGATATGGTCTATTGAAAGCCTAACACAGTACACAGTACACAGAAAGAACAACACAGGGTGTGATCTCAGTCCCAGAGAAATTTACAGCCCAAGGTAGAAGAGAAAGAACAAGAATATTCAGAACTGCCCTGAAATGCAAGCACAATTACAAACACCAGAATTTGGCCCACTGGAGATGTAACCAAAGGCAGGAGCCAGGTGGGAGAGTGTGAAAAGCCTCCCCACCCAGCGGCTGGCAGGCACTGAGTCCACCTTCCTGTGCACCTGTGCTTCTGGTTCTCTCATTCACTGACATTTCCTTCTGTATTTCCCTAGAGGACTCACATTCTGGCAGATGCTGCAGCATGAGTGCCAATATGGCGGAAAGTACTATAGAAATCATTTCTGTTGCCAATAAACTGCACACTGTTTTGTGCGTTTAAACCCTTAAAGTGATACTGTATAATAAAGAGGGCTGGGCTGGGTAAAAATAATGTGCACCTTTACAGTGTGAATCCAACATGGTGAAGCCTGAGATTTACAACCTGGTAGGCACCTAGGGAAGAGATCATCTGAGGAAAGACAGAGATGAGGTTCCTATGATCGTGGGTGGCTGTTCACCCACTAGAATGACAGGCAAATTGAAACTATGTGTAGCTCTCAATCTCTGAATATCCCTCTCCCCAACCGCTTTCCTAAGTCTAGAGCCAGCCACACTTTTGTTAAATGCGTTTGGTACAGGTTCACTGTAACTTTACTGCCCTTAACTAACCATTACCCGTAGTCTTGCTGATGTGCTCCACCCCACAGCAATACCCTAGATCTTCAATTTCTGCCCAGAGTAATGTGTAGGGAACCATAAATAAATTAAAACAAGCAGAATTAGTCTTTCTAATGTTACAAGCTTCAAGAATTAATAAATGGAGACAGAAGTGGACAAGATGGTTCACTGTTGCTTTTTTATACAATTATTATACTTTTCAAGGATCCTCACATAAACTTTCTTGAAGGAAATGTGTTTATAGTACCAGGCCAGGCTCCTCCCCTGCAATATAAAACAAAGAAGTCCAGTGGGCATGGTGGTATGTGCCGGTAGTCCCAGCAACTTGAGGATGAGGCAGGGGGATTGCTTAAGCCCAGGAGTTCCAGGTCAGCCTGGGCAGTACAGCCTTGACCCCACTACCATAAAAAAACGAAACAAAACAAAACACATGTCTGATTACTACTCACCCAAAGTAACGTCTGTCAGAAACAAGATATTGCTGGTTGAGCATCCAATGCTATCTGCAATCTTTCGGTAACTCTCACTCTCCACTTTGTGTCCAATCTTGGTATCAAAGTGACCATCAAAAAGCTGAACAAAGAGAAGAAAGAAAGACTGACACTGACACCAAATTCTTTAGTCTTACATCCTTTCTTTCTAAAATGCATGAAGTCCTAGTGACATCATTCATTCAGTAAATATTTACTGAACATCTACTTAATAGAGAACTTTATGGCTGCTCCAAAAAGTAAACAAAACCAAGACCTGTCTTGTAAAGGTACAAGATCTCAATAATGAATGTAACTGTACTGTATACCCAAAATATACCTATAAACTCATGAGGAAAACAAACAAACAAAAAAAGTAAACATAAAGGTTTTATAGCAATAAACATTTGGAAGAAGAAAAATACCAGCTTATCATTACTGGCATTCATTTTATATCCAAGGGCCGGGGATTTAGCTCAGTGGTTCCTCCGACTGCCTCACAAGCACAAGGACCAGAGTTCAATCCCTGGTACCAAAAAAAAACGAAAGAAACATTTTATATCCAAAATCATTAAGAGATATACATCCCCTATATTTTACCCTTAAGATACTATTTGCTTTCAAATTACTTATTGGACTGTGTGGGAGCCCGCTGGCATTTGACATTGGAAAAGTAACTTATTCTACCATTGAGGCATGGACACAATCTATGACTCTGTTTGTTTATTTGGCTTTTCTGAGACAAGGGTCTCAGCTATACAGATGAGATTGACCTGGAGCTCACTGTGTAATCCAGACTGGTTTTATGGGATTACAGGCATGCATCACCACGCCCGGCTCAAGGACTTTGTTAAATTTGACCTTGTGATGGGAGGAACTCAGATAGCCAAGGATCTGATCTCCTCCCTAATAGTTGCTTGGTCCTTCCTGTTGGCCTGCCTTTAAAAGGAGCTGTTTCTGTGAAATAAATCGGACCTCTTGTCTCCACACTATTGAATGTGCTGTCCTTTCTCAATCCTCACTCCCCAACTCAGGTACGTTCGTGTTGTGACAGCTGGGCCGCCACAGGACTGGGTTTCATTCCTAAAGAAAGGATCTAAATATTATTCTTCTGATCTTACAATGAAAAGATGTATCATTAATAAGGTGTTACTTTTCTTTCAAAAAAACTTTCATTTTTTAATTAAAAATGTTTTCAATTCTCCCTTGTACTGAGGTCAAATATGTCACTTGCTTGTAACCAATGCTAAGTAAAAATAAACCCATTTTCAGGATTAGCTATTATGATGTGATTATTTGAATGTCTTCAGAACATCTCACAAACTAAAAACAAGCCTAATGACCACTCAAAATTAAGGAAATATTCAACTTTTTTAAACTTAAGATTGGTTCTTACACATTTTTTTCCCTTGTTATGCTTTATTTGGTAAATGAAAAATAAGATTTTTTTACTGAACTCAGTAGGTTTACCTTATTGCTCATAGTATGAGAGACCAAAAAAGTTTACATCTGCATTCAGAGGACAGTGACTAATGACTAAAGGGTTTCACTAGTGGTTTCATTATATGATTTACAAATAAAATGAAAAGAAGAAAAATAAAATGGGATAACCTCTAAAGCCAAAGAAGTCTCCGCAAACTTTAAGGGCTCAATAAATATTTTAGGGCTGGGAATGTAGCTCAGTAGCAGAGTGCCTGCCCCGGGTGCATAAGGTGCTAGATTCAACTAGTCTCAATCCCAAACACAGAAAGAGGGGCAGGGAGGGAGGGAGATACCAGGTCAAATGACTTGCGTATAATAAGGTGATCCTATATTCAGTTGTCAGCACTTTTTTTTTTTCTCTTTATGGTGCTGAGATTGAACCCACGGCATATGCTTTATTCCTGGTTCCAGTCAGTACTTCTTTTTAGTTTTAAATGTATTCCCTTCTGCTGACCACCCCAAATCAAGGGGTTGCAGGGTTGACACAGAGAGGCAAGCAGGAATTTTATGTACAGGAAATATGTAATAGGTAATTTTAATTTATCATTATGCACAATAATGTGTCCAATTGTCTTACATAATAATGCAGGGAGTTTTTTCTGGTGAAATAAAACCTGTACCTCTCCAAATTGCCAGAAACAAACAAATGAGACTACTTTGTGCTTTGCTGCATTCAGAACATCTTTAAGGGGCCTGGGGCATAGCTCAACAGTACAGCACTTGCCTGGCATGCACAAGGCCCTGGGTTAAATCCCCAGCAGCACATACACGTGTGCACACACGCACACTTCTTTATGCAGTTATGACAACAGCACAGTCCTATTTTGCATCTCGCCTAATTTTATTATTTTTCAAGATACAGAATACTTTTGTTTTCCTGTACATGTTTCACATGCTAGATAAGTGCTCTACCACTTCCCTAGTCCTTTCTTAAAATTTAATTTGAGGGCCGGGCGTGGTGGCGCACACCTGTAATCCCAGCACTCGGGAGGCTGAGGCAGGAGAATGGCTGTGAGTTCAAGACCAGCCTGGCTACATAGTGAGTTCCAGGTCAGTCTCAACTATACAGTGAGACCTTGTCTCAAAAAAAAAACAAACAAAAAACTAATTTGAAACAGGGTCTCATTGGTCCCTAACATGTCACCGTGACCGCCTATAAGCTAGTGCTGATCCGGCACGGTGAGAGCACCTGGAACCTGGAGAACCGCTTTAGCGGTTGGTACGACGCCGACCTGAGCCCTTCAGGCCAAGAGGAAGCGAAGCACGGTGGGCAGGCGCTACGAGATGCTGGCTACAAGTTTGACATCTGCTTCACCTCCGTGCAGAAGAGAGCAATCCAGACCTGTGGACAGTACTGGATGCCACTGACCAGATGTGGCTGCCAGTGGTGAGAACTTGGCATCTCACTGAGCGGCACTATGGGGGTCTGAGTGGCCTTCATAAAGCAGAAACTGCTGCCAAGCATGGTGTGGCTCAGGTAAAGATATGGAGGTGCTCTTATGATGTCCCATCATCTCCAATGGACCTGATCATCCCTTCTACAGCAACATCAGTAGGGATCGTAGGTATGCAGACCTCACTGAAGATCAGCTGCCTTCCTGTGAGAGTCTGAAAGACTATTGCCAGAGCTCTGCCCTCCTGGAGTGAAGAAATTGTTCCCCAGATCAAGGAAGGGAAACGGGTCTTGATTGCAGCCCATGGCAACAGCCTTCGGGGTATAGTGAAGCATCTGGAAGGTCTCTCTGAAGAAGCTATCATGGAGTTGAACCTGCCAACTGGTATCCCTGTTGTCTACGAGTTGGATAAGAACTTAAAGCACATCAAGACCGTGCAGTTCCTAGGGGATGAAGAGACCGTCCGTTAAGCCATGGAAGCTGTGGCTGCCCAGGGCAAGGCCAAGAAGTGAAGCCAGCAGGGAGACTACTACTCCATCCACCCATTCCTCTGCACCTTTCCCCACACCCGTCACACTGAGCATATCTGTAGGCATCTCATGTTGTAGTTGCAGATGGGGACCTGTGGCTCCATTTTCATTTTAGCATTGTGGCTCTTGCACCCACTCCCTTGATAAACTCTAGTCAGAACAGAACCTCTAGGGCACAAGTACTCAGTCCAAGCTCAGGGAAGGCTCTTATCCAGGAGTGTTGAGAGGCAGTAACTTTTTTCCTAGTGCTTCTGCTTTGTTTACTAAGGATGTGCTTGAGTAGAGGACAGGGAGGAATCATGCCAAGGCATGACCAGTGAGGAGAGGCCAGAGAGCATACGGTGCTTCTAGGGGCCAGCCCTGTACTCTTCTACAGTCCTGTCACTGTCGGGGAGCTCTGGTCATTCCAGTGGGACATGAATGTAACCTGCATGGTGATTTAAAAAACAATGATTTCGTCCCTCATCCTAGAGGAGCTGGATCCAGAAGGTTGTGATCAATCCTGAATTAAGTTTATGTGTTAAATTTTTCTACCAAAAAAAAACTAAAATCCTTCTGGCGTTTCTAGTGGTGGTTGAATAGTTCCACATGTGGTTGCCATAAAATAAGCCATTCCTCACAACAGTACTGGATAAACTCTGGCCTCTAAGGGGTAGGAGTACATCCTGCTGTGTATTTTAGGATCCCTCTGCCTTGTTTTGGTGGCAGTGAAAATGCCTCTTGACTATGTCCAAGCATCTTTCACTATGTCTGATTTCTGAACCATGTTCCAGTTGGCTTGGCCCCGCCATATGGGCCCAGTACTCATTTTGAGCATAACTGTAAGTCTTTTTTCCAAATCATAAAAAAAAAAAGAAAGAAAGAAAGAAACAGGGTCTCATTTAGTTGCCCAGGCTAACTTCAAATTTGCAATCCTCCTGCCTCAGCCTCCTGAGTAGCTATGATTAGTTATGCATCACCACACCCAAGAAAACTTTTAACTTTATGCATAAAAAATTATATACACAATATAATTAAAAGTGATTTAACTCTTTTCTTTGTTACCTGATTTTACACAACCAAAGAGCACTTCACCAATTTCCTTTGGGTATTGATTTTTTAATACTAGCGAGACAGCTGATTCACATGCTAGCTCAGGAGCTGTACATACACTTTGTAGCTAGTCCTAACATTTGCCCGCCCTAAAATCACCTCAGGTGCAAATGAGAAGGGGAAGAGGGACGGCTTGGGACAAAGAAAGAAGGGAATGGAATTAATACGAGAAAATGACAAAGTGGAAACAAAGTTTTTGTAAATAGGGAGGGGTGGAGGGATTGAAGGGAGGACAGGAGGATGGGGAAAAAATAAGAACCAAGATAAGATTATGTAAAGGTACAAATTTCCAATGATGAATATCATTATATTGTATATCTAAAATGTACCAATAAACTTACTGAAGAAAAAAAAACACTGAACAATTTTGAGACAAAAAATAAAATAAAGTAAAATCATCTCAGGTGGATCTTTAAATGCAAGCTTGAGAGCCCCACTCTAGCTCTGCCTTTTCAGATTTGCTAGGAATCAAGGCCCAGGAATCTACATTTTTAATAAACTTCTCAGATGATCCTGATGTACAACAAAGTTTAAGAGATTTTGATCCAAAAACTGACCTCACTTACTTCAATTCCTTCTCTATGCATTCCCCAGCTTTTCCACAACCCATGTTATCAGCACATATAAATGGTTTAGCTTATAATCCTTGCACATTCCTTACTATTCTGTATTTCATGCTTTTAGAGTGTCAAAAAATACAAACCAAGTAACCTACCTCAAGAATATCCCCCTCTGTAGAATGTCCAAATAACAGTTTCTGTGCCTCTATGCTCCCTGACGAATAGATATAAACCTTCATTCCAGCCGCTTTCCACTTCCTGACTGCAGGAACTACATCTGCAAAGAACCTAGAGGGAAAAGAGCCAAAGTAAAATAACATTTCATGTAAGCCCATGAAAATCAGGGAAAATAAATGCTACATACTTCTCTATCTGTGCTCAAATGGAACTTGGAAAGCAACTCTACACAACTAACACCCTTGCAATTCTCATAAATGTGTTAGTGTCAGTATCACAGCAGATTACAAGGAACAATTTGAGTGGTAACAATACTTTTTAATAGTAAATAAAGACTACAGATGAAGAAAGTGATTTTTTTAAATCCTCAAGGAACTCAAAGAAGCAACACCAATAATACTGAATTATATAATCTGCAGTATAATTCACGACAGGAAAAGGCTACTGTATGTCCACTGTGCTTTAAGAAAGCACAGGAGTGCTTTTAGAAAGAGATCTGTTCCCAAAACAATTTTTTTTTAATGTCTGGGAGCTTAATGCTATAAACCTTTGATTAGCTAGAAAACAAAATTACATTTTCTTGAGAACTGAGAAAACAGTTTTATAACACAGAAAAAAATTTCAGAACAAATCAGGTAAGAGACTTGAATCATTTCACATTAGCTAAGCAGTCAACAGTACTTGGTTTTCAGATTCCCAACAGTCTCTTTTATCAATTTTATACCATTTCCATAGTTAGTAATGAAACAGTTTAACAGGAAATAAGTGAAAAGCACAGGGAACTCTGGTTGTGGGACTAGTCTTCAAGAGATTAACTACCAAATACAACAGCTTAGTCTGCTGTCTTAGTTGAAAGAATGGACATATTCAAACCCACACAATTCTAAGTGTCATTCTGGATTTTTTCTGGTATGAATTTGCACTGATTGTTTTTACTCTACTGCAGAGATTGAAAAGTTTAAGGTAATTTACTCTATGTTTCTGGTTTTATAATTAAGGAAACAAGGGCTAACTATCAGGAAAGCAATTTCCTGGCTCTACACTTGGGAAAGTTTAGAGTGAACTGGCTGATATTCCCAGATCACTGGTATATCCTGAAATTCCAATGCACTCTTTGAAAAGTAGGTGATCCTTGCGACCTATAAAAAGGAATGACCTCTTATCTGACAGAAATACAAATTAATATAGGCAGCTGGGAAGAGGCTTGGATCTGAGAGTTTACACCAGGAGCAGCCTAGAACCCTTCTTAGCAGTACCTTACAAAGAGTGGCTCAGCAGTACAGTGCGCTTGGGCCTCCTCAGATAGGAGAGAGAACTAGTAGATAGAGGAGAACTAGTAGGGTACCCAAAACCAAGACTCGGTGTTTGTGGAAGGTGCTCATACAGCACAGAAAAAGTGGCACACCTGACATTCTCTGAGTGACCCCAAAGCAATGGTTGCCTAATTCACAGATTTCCACTTCTCTAAAAAGCAGGTAATAATGCTGGCCCTGAGAAGTAGACTAAAAGCACCATCACTTGCATGCTAAGGATCAGATATAACTCTGTTCTAGGAGTTGCCATGTGTCAGGAAGCTGCTGTAAACTATGACTAAAAGTCATGCAACCATATGCAAAGTCAGCCATGAAGGTCTGGGGAATTTAGCTGAATGAAATGCATTAGCCCAGCTTTGGAAAAAAGAAAACAAAACAATTCACTTGTTAAATAAACACTTGATTTTATCTATTTTAAGTATATTTTAATCATGGAATATACAATAGAGTAAGAGGACTAGTGAGAAGCATATTTGGGATGTGGTGAAAGTTCACTCCTCTGAGCACCTACTCTCCTTTCACGTGTCCAGCTATGAACGCTGCCCTCCACATATGGCCCTGCAGCTGCTTGAGCGCTGTGGTCTTCCGGTCCAGAGACATCTGCCAATGCACATTGTCTACCACAGCCTGGATCATCTGCTGGAGGTCATCTACCCCGTTCCCAGATGCCGCGGGGATGGGAACAGCCCCATCCAGGTGGGCATCTTCTTCAGCCTTTAAATCAGAAAAATAGGAAGTTTGTTTCTTAAATATTTTTTAAAAGACTGATTTTCTTCAACTATTATTAGCCGAAGAATTGCTGCAAAAGATTCTCAAAAGAACAATCCCTAGCCAGGCGCAGTGGTGCATGCCTATAATCCCAGCTTTATGTGAAACTGAAGCAGGAGGATTCCAAGTTTGAAGCCAGCCTAAACAACTCCATGAGAACCTGTCTCAAAACAAAAAAAGGACCAGGTATAGTGGCGCACATCTCAGAGTAACCCCAGCACTTGCGAGGCTTAGTCAAGAGGATCACCAGGAGTTTTGAGGCTAGTCTGGGCTGCATAGTGAGTTCAAAGCCAGCCTGAACTACACAGTGAAACTCTTCTCAAAAAATAAGAGCTGGGGAAATAACAATGTGAAGCCTTGGGTTCGTGCCTCAGTCATACAAAATAAAAGAATGATCCCTAAAAATACCAAGATTATAATTAGTAAGTTTACATTATCTTTCTTAGATTGCCAAAGTTGAAATTTAAACCAAGAGGCATGCTATGTATGAGCAAGGAGAACACATAAGAACAAAAGACTTGGTTTGTTGAAAAACTTAAGATTAACAAACCAGAACTTTAATTAAATTTGATCATTTTCTCTGCACTATAACTAAAAAAGAAAACAGAACATTTCATGAATTAGTTCACAGCTGGAATTGAATAAAAAGCTAATGGAGCCTGGGATGGTAGCGCATGCCTATAATCCCAGCATCCAGGAGACTGAGGCAGAAGGATTGACCATGAGTTTGAGGCCATCATGGGCTACATAGTGAGTTCAAGGACAGCCTGGACTATGTACATAGAGAGATCCTGCCTCAAAAAACAAAAAATAAGCCAGTGAATAGGAATGGTTTATATAGCCTCGTAGGATTCCCCACATCTTGTAAAAACTCAACATTTAAAACAATGATCTTATTAAAATACGATAAAACCTCTAAAGGTTATGCATCTTTATGTAATACGGGAATATGTATGTTTCAACAAGGGTTGAGAGATGAGGCTATTTCAGGTTAATGCTGAATTAAGCAAAAAATTCAAAATCTGAATCTTCATGAATTCCAAGAATGTGACTATATTCTCAACTCCTGACATTACATACAAGATTTACAAAGTACAGCCACAGAAATGAAAGAAAAAAGAGAAAAGATTTAGAGGGTATTCTATGACACCCAATGTGAGGAAAGTGACTGCCAGCGAATTAGAGGTGTGCACCATGTAAGATCTTTGTCACTGCAGCAACTCTGATAAGAAAATCAACAGAACAGGAACTCTATAGCACCCAACAGGGAAGAAGACAGAAGAGGAACTTGGGGATAGAAGGGTAGCTGAGCGAAGCACATGAGACCAAGGCAGGCTGCAGGCTGGGCCAGGTGTGAGCTGGGTGAGAGGACTGGAAGGGTGCAGGTGTGAGGAGCACTGTGAAGGGAACGGTGAGGGTCCTACCATGAGGCAAGAGGCTAGAGAGAGAGACAGTGCTGCTGCTCAGTGATATTAAGGGAACCTGTTAAGACTGCACAAACCTTTCCCAATACACCCAGAAAGGGCGTAGTTTGACAACTATGTCATATTTTTGTGCAGTGTAAACAGCTCTTGACAATTCTATAGACCACAATATAAACATAAACAATTCATTCACATACATACTGTGGATTTTTAACTCCAACTGCCACCCTCTATGAATCTAGGGCACTGATTTTACCCTATGCTCAGTGCATGCTCTAAACCTCCAGCCACTCTAGGACACAGGAGAACAGAGGGCAAAGGTCCCACCTGCTTCCTCAGAAGGCTGACATCCTGCCGGCACTCCTCCTCCTCCCAATGTGTCTGCAGATACTCCTGCACATTTTCTTTGATGTAAGGGAATAAAATGTCCTGGACAATAGAGTAAAAAAGGAAGAGTTAGTTTTTATTCACTGTATAAGATCCAGTTCTAAAACCTCACTGTAGCTAACTATGATAAATACATTAGTGGAACTCTTAAGTGAAAATTGTGCTATGATTATGTGAATGAGACAGACACCAAGAAACAATGAATGAGGCCAGCAAACAACTCACCACAGGCAAATCTGATGAGCCACCCATTTCTGTAATGAAGTTTTACTGGAACACAGCCACACTCATTTATTTACATAGTGTTTCCAGCTATTTTGGGGGTCACAAGAGCAGAGCTGAAGATTTGAACTGAGACTATAGTGCCCACAAAGCCTAAATAAAATATTTACTACCTTGGCCTTTTCAGAAAGTCTACCAATTCCTGAACCACACTGCTAGACCACATATCCCTGAGGGCACAAATTGTGTGTGTCTTGCTTCCAGCAGCACCCCTGATACACGGCCCAGTATATAATTCAAGTGTCTGGTGAATGTAGGGTGTCCATGCATAACAGATGGTTTAGAAAACCCAGAATCTGATCACCATAACCCTTTCCTGGTAATCAGAATACTTAGAAAATAATCCTAAAAGAAAGTGATATGCAAAATAATTCACTAATAAGCAACCTGCCAGTAATCCATGTAGTGGGAACATGATTTCCCTTTGATTGAAATTTAATTTATTGGGTGCTAAGGATTGAACCCAGGGCTCTCACAAACTTATCATTAAGACACACCCTCAGCCTTTCCTTGGTTAAAATATTTACTTTTACTTGTATTTGGAGTATGAATATCTTTTAAAATCAAATTGTGGTACATTAAACATTTTTTTTTTTTTTGGTATCCATGATGTGCAAAGATATATGAATCCTTGAGAAGGACATGGAAAAGTGAATTGAATACATAAATAAATTGCAATCCCTGTCTCAAAACAGCTAGGAAGCTAGTCAGGGGGAATGGCAGGTGAAAACATTATACTGTAGAATGTATGCAAATCTAAGGTGTAGTGGCCTGGCGATACTCTTAGGAATAACCAGTCTTAAAAAAAGAATACATACACACATGCTGTGTGTGTGTGTGCTGTGTAGAGAAGGCTTCATATTTTATGAGAAACTCTGTAACTGAATCCAAGAAGTCTTCTTAAATTCATGTACTCCTTTATTTAAATATTTGAAGGCCCTATGATAAGAACTGGATATAACCATGAGCAAAGTACCACCCATGAGCCCTAATACAAAGGAGCCAAGTATAAGCACATATTAAAAAAGCTACTGTTATAAATGCTACAAATGAAAAGTATGTTGTAATTATTGGATCTGAAAAAAGGAAAATCTGAACTGATAAGGAGGAAGGTTAGGGAAAGCTTTGCTAGGGAAGCGACAACAGAACTGAGATCTAAAGCAATGGTTCTCAAAGTGTGGCCCAGGGCCTTTGAGAGACCCTGAGACCCTTCAGGGAAGGCACTAGGTGAAAATGGTTATTTTGCCTTTCTCACCTTTCTCCTTTTCATTCTTTCAGGAGAGCACAGTGGGGTTCCTGGGAGCAACAGAATGGGTGCTGCGACCGAAGACCAGATGGCAGAAAGGAAAACCTGGCTGACTTCAACAGCACACATTTGGAGGTGCAAAAACGGACACTGCCATTCTTCTAACATGTTTCCAAATCAAAAAACAATCTCCTTATAAAAATATATTTAGTTATACTATCAAAAGTAATGGGGTTGTGTGTTGCTGTTTAAAATGAATAAACATTTTTCTACTTCTCAGTTTGAATTTCTAATATTGATATTCTAATATTGATAGAACTTACATAAATAAGTCTTTCAGCTCCTCAAAAAAATTTTAAGAGTATAAAGGAATCCTGAGGGCTGGGGATTTAGCTCAGTGTGGTTCTGGCACCTGCCTCACAAGCTCAAGGACCGGAGTTTGATCCCCGGTACCTAAATAAATAAATAAATAAATAGGAATCCTGAGAACAAAACATATAAGAATTACCAAAGGGGAACAGGAGTAGCCCAGAGAAGACTAGAGGAAAGACCACCACATAGTACAATGTCAGTAAGAGGCTTCTGGTGAGTTGGTGGCACCCCTGTAATCCTAGCACTCAGGAGGCTGAGGCAGGAGGAGTTTGAGACCAGCCTGAGTGAGCTACATAGTGAATTCAAGGCCAGCCTGAACTATACAGCAAGACTTTGACTCAAAGAAACAAAAACAAAAAGAGGCTTGTAGGTAGGATCTCTGACCTACTGAGTATATAAAGCAGTGGCTGACAAATGTTCTCATACCACCTTTAGGTGGGCAAAAGCCCCTGAAATAAGCAATCCTATTCCCTGCAAAGCAGGCTGAGTGTGAGGTAAGTGGAATAACTGCTCCAGTTCATGAGGCACCATCGTGTGCTATCACAGTCCACACCATACCCCGATGGGAATTTAGCTCTGTTGGCAGTGCAGTGCCTGCCTCGCAAGTGGGAGGTCCTGAATTCTATCAAAGGTAAAGCAAAAAGTAAACAAATAAACAAACAAAACCCTACAGACCCACCCTTTGGCCCAATTTATAGAGGGCAGGAACACTTCCTACCTCCTCTTTTCCTCTCTGGCCACCTCCTTGTTACACACTTCTGCACAATTACATTTTCTTTAATACAAAGGCATAAACAAAGGCAGAGAGAGAGAAAGGGAGAAAGAGAGAAAGGGGCTGGCAGAAAACTTCATTTCTGGCTAACAGGCCTAAGGAATGATATGGTTAGGATGCAGTTAATGGATGGATGTTGGGCTGGGGATTTAGCTCAGAGGCGCCTCACCTACCTTATAAGCACAAGGTCCTGAGTTTGATCCCCAGTACCACCAAAAAAAAAAAAAAGATGGGCGTCAACAAAACATCTTTCACTGTATGTGTGACCAAAACAATCAGAAGTCAGGCTATACAGTAAGGTTTCATTTTTCTTAGGGGATCTAGGAATTGAACCCAGGGCCTCACATATGGCAGGCAAGCACTCTACCACTAAGCTACTACACCTTTTGCCCCTAGAACTTTTTAATATTTCAGAAAACCCAAGTCTAAGTTCAACTCCCAAAGAAAAGCACACAAGAAAGTACAGCAACTGTGACTTTTTATAACCAGCATTACTGAAGTATTTACATGCCTGTTATTCAAATTTCACCTGCCCCAATAAAAATAAAGAAGTTTTTCATCTGCTTGTTCTTATGTGGCATCTCAGGAAAACTCAAAAGCACATAAACAGCATAATAAGGCCAAGTTTTCAGCACAGGTGGCAGAGAACCCTTGGGAAAGCTCAATGAAAGCAATTCTTCGTCCAAAATAAAGAATTCGAAGAACTAAACTTGACAGTTTTCTTTTTCTGCAAGATCCCTACTGCCCTACCAATACTCACTCTTACTTTCTTGTTTCCCATTACCCCCCTTCTCATTTCTCCTGTCCTCATATTAAGCACCCCTCCCCAGCACTGGCAGGGACTCTGGTCCCACTACAAACTGTGTACACTGAGGGTGAGTAGTCGTAGCACACTAAACACACACACACAGCGGCCATTTCTCTCCCAAGCACATTCTAAATGGAAACCAATAACCAACAAACAAAACAATCTAAATCTTTAGCATCTGGGGAATGAACAAACTGGAATTATTTACAAACTCTCATGTATAAAAAATATCCTAATACAAAACAGGATTACTAGCGGGGCATGGTGGCACATGCCTATAATCCCAGCACTTGGAGACTTGAAGCAGGACTGCTGTGAGTTCAAGAACAGCCTGAACTACATCGCCAGACAGTCTCAACAAACAAAAGCCAGGAGGATTCCCTGGGATCCCAGTTTTATTTAAGATATGAAACACACATGATATTAATAACTAGCTTGGTAGTAGATATACGGACATCATTACATTAACTTTTATTCTTTTTTTTCCTCGGGTTTTTATTTTTTATTTTTTGAGACAGGGACTCACTATGTTGTTCAAGCTGGACTTGAACTTACCATGTAGTCCAGTCTGGGCTGCAACTCATAGTGATCCTCCTGCCTCAGCCTCCCAAATGCTGGGATTACAGATTTCTGCAACCGTGCCTAGCTTAACTTTTATTCCTCCCTATTTGAAGTATTTCACAATAAAAACAAACAGGCTACCAGGCATGGTGGTACACTACAGATCCAACCACTCAGGAAACTGAGGCAGGACGATCACTTGAGCCAAGGAATTCAAGAACAGCCTGGGCAACACAACAAGACTCCATCTCACAACAGAACAAGCTCCAAAACTTGGATCTGGTCACGCTTCTCCCTCCAGTGTCCTGCTAAAGCATTATCCCAAGATACTACCTGGGAAACCTCCTATGGGGAACAGCGCTGGGGAAGTCAGGGCCTCCCAGCAACTAAAGAGCTGAAGTGTTCCAAAGTGATCAAAACCAATGCAGTGTTCCACAAGGCCTATTTTCATTTCAGCTTTACTGGTGCAACTCTAAATTAATGTAGGGAGACCCTGCAGGTGCAGTGCGTCCAGGTCCACAACCTCTGCTAGAAAGACAAGGAGAGGCCAGGCAGCTCTGGGGCTGCTCATGAGATCAGCCTCATTAGGGTCCATTTTCTGCCTGGGCTGTACAGAAACCACAGTGGCAGCATAAGGAAAAGCTGCTGCAGGGATGATTCAGGGATGGCACCTCTGGTAATGGAGCAAACCATGGCCACTCTGCTCGGAGAAGTCACAGCAGCAACATGAAGAAGGGTTCAAACAATTCTCAACTTTTGGGGGACCTCTAGAAGTTGGAGACCACTTCAGAGTCCTCCATTGTCTAACCTGCCCATTCCCCTCACCAATACAACTCCCCTCTTCACTGAGTAGACACACAAAGCTAGAATCTAGTATAACCCCTCAACAGCTAGAAATTGGCATTACCTGGGGTGAATATGTTAAGACTGTTCGATTTTTGTGCAAAAGTGTTACACAGTACAATGAACAAAATTGTGAAGCTTTTACCCATTCTTTGGAC